ATATATATATATATATATATATATATATATATATATATATATATATTAACACACATTCACACTTTTCACACACCCCATATTAATTAACGGGAGATGCTTTGATAGACGCCTCAAGGCTGTTAGCTCTTTGAGCGGTGAAAAAAAAATCTTACGAACTAAATAACTTGTATAATCATTCTAATACTCAAATTAAGTAGGATCGGTCCTCTGATATAAATTTTGTGACAAATTGTCACTGATGACGACTTTTGAGATTTGCAATTAAATTTGCGTTGACAAATTGTTTTGCAGTTCAGCAAATTGATTTTACAGATTTGATATTTCATACAGTACAAGAGTTCTTAGACCACTGAGATAAATATGCCTCGCCCTATCAGCAAATGTATCTGGCTTAATTGGATTGTAAAATCAGAGATGTGGAAGGCATTTAATTCCCTCGGAAACAAATTGCGGCTGTTATTTAGAGTGGGTTGCATTTATTTCAGAAGTTGATAGTATCAATACAGTTGTAACTAATAACCATTAGACTACTTTATTGAGCCCCAAATACTTTCCAAACCCGCTTTCTCAGTTTAAGTGTCCAAGATTTATCTTCAAATTATTGTGATCGCTCTTTGCCATCTTTCATATAGCTATTCCAAATGACAAGGTTATTTTGCATCCGAATCGTCGAACACTGCAGCAATTGGAATAAAATTATTGTCAAACACTATTTATCATTAAAGACATTTGTAAATCGATGGTGATAGGGCAAGGAGATATGCAAATTTTTCATTAACAGATATGCGGTTGGAGACGACGTCACTGTACACTTCTTGTGCTTCAGTAGTTTGGTCACGTAAAAAAAAAGATAGACTATTGCCTATTTTGAAGTGCTTGCAAAGCACCTACACGTCAACTGATAAACACTGGAAAAGGACTGCTTAATAACGGTTACTGTGCATGTCATGTGCTTCAAAGTTTTAATCTTTATAAAATAAATATATGAATTTATGGCCTTCTTGAAATGCTAGGAAGAAAGCGCAAAAAACAATTCTCTACCAAATTTCAGGTTCAGTAATCCTCGAAGCAATTGAAGCAAGTCTATGATAAATAAGAAATAAATATTGATATTCTAATGATAATTTACGTTTGAATTGTAATATTTGTACGTATCTAATATTAAAAGATGTTCGTGTGCTGGCCGAGTAGTAAGCTTGTTTTCATTCATGTCGCCGTCTTTGGTCGAGTGTAAGGCCTTAATTTTTAATAATTTCTCTTGTGAGATTTCATTGAAAAATGTCAATAACAATTAACCACCAGGATTTCATTCAAAATATGACTGATAAACCGAAAATGCAAAACCCACCCACCAGCTATGTTTATGATTTCTTGGTTATGTGATAACTAACCGTAGACGATGAGTGCATGTTGCTTGGAAAATAGCTAAATGTATACAAACTTAAGTGTTATTAATCTCAAAAGTCGGATTGTCAAATATTTGTATGCAAGTCAAGGTGATTGGTTCATAATTGTGCAGTATATTGTTAAATCAGTGTTCACAAATCTTTCAGTTGCGAGTATAAATTAATCGTTACAAAGAGTCTAGCTTTCATTAGTATTGGTAATGAAAAGGAAACTGAAAAAGTTTCGAGCCCTAATGGACATGTTTTACACAAACATAATCAGCATGATACAGCTAAATGTACAAGAAAGCTTTAATCATCGCGGACTAACGAATATCCATGACCAGAACACGAAATTCTCTCATATTGAATTCCTCTTAAACAAACATAACTTACAGCATAAATTATTATTAAACAATTGTTTAAAATTTGCAGAAGAACATTGAAGGTACATAACACATAAAAGCATATTAACACGATGCGTGTTTACTAATTTTATATGATCGTGTTTCGACTTTACAGTTCCATCATTGCCTGACCAGAAATCGATCCTGCCATGTCACTGACAGAAGCAGGGCGTATTATCATTGCACAGATAGTAAGAGGTCCTTTAAAACAAGGCCCTTTAGATCCAAGCAAATTTGAAGAAAGAAAAATTATTAATTTATGAGAGAGAGAGATAGAGAGAGACCTGAATTTCAAATAATTTTACATTTAAACAGTTACTTAATATATCTCAGTTTAAGATAATTTTACTGTGAGAGATTTCTTTTACTGAAAGACAGGAAATAAAAACGTATTATAAAACCGAGAGAAGGTGTAATAAAATGACAATTTTCTTAAAATGCATTCTGGTTAATTTGTAAAACATTATTGAGATTATATAAATTTGTGGATTTTTGTTTCTGTCAAAGCATATTTATAGATATTTTGTTACGTGTTTTAATCTTAGCAAATATCCATAATAAAACAAAATAGAACCAACCCATGCCGTCAACAAGGGTTGGTCGTTTGATTGATTTAAACAACGCCTACATTTTAGTAAGAGTTCAAATCGTACACCATTCACGATCCATCCCTTATAACGTGTTTTCGTCCAAGAGCTCAACGTCAAACGGAGCTTACGCAGCCAACATCACCAAGAAAAGCGTTTATTAGGGCAGGTCTGTGGATTTTTACTTAAGCTATTGTCCGTATGGCTGCACTGCATTCCGATCGTCATTCGGTGAAAATATTAAAACTGAAAATAGACTGTCTACGGTAATATGTCTGAGAGACAGCATCTAATTACCTATGCCTTTAATAAATTTGGACCAATATCATTATGCAATTTCGGGATTATTTATTTGGTAAACATTAGTGTGTGCCAGGAGACTTGATAGACAACGATGTTTTTCAAGCCCTGGATTTAATATTATCATGTCTTGTTGATGCGTTGGCTTAAAAATACTAGGTAAAATGAGATGTAATTTTAAAGGATTCAAATTATATCAATAGCGTTTGCTACGTTTAAGTAGAAACAACATCTACATTTATATATGCTTTACATAAATGATTCATTCAGATGTGATGTGATGTGATTATGTCTTTTAAAGTATCTTTAGCAATTTTTCAGTCATTTCGCTATAATGTCTAGAGTGTGGCAGTTTATTGTGATCTCTAGCACTGGAGCATCATGCCGCAGACATATAGCATGATGTCCCACCCAGTCACATTATCCTGACACCAGGCCGACCAGTCATAACACTAACACTAACCTCTTGATGCTGAGTGTCAAGCGAGGCAGCTTTTAGTACCATTTTTGTAAGTCTTTATGATTCGACCGGGGATCGAACCCACGACCTCCCGCATCCGTGGCGGACGCTCTAACCAATAGGCCACCGGTGTGCAACTGTGGATATATATTAAATTACATAGACATGCAGAGGGTAAAGTAAGAGTACTATTACATAAGTATTTTCATTAACAGTGTAACTTATAGTTATGATCATTGTTAATAAACACTAAATCTAATGTTTCATGATCTTTTCGTTGTTTTTTCTTTAATTTGCCATACTACTATTGTTTCAATGCTTCTTGTGTATGTACTCTCTCCGTATTAATATTCAATATCCATTTAAGGCAGCTAATGCGACTTCAGTCTGCAACTACTGCAACCACTTGTTAATTAGGAAATGAAACAAAATACAATGATTTATAATTTATTTTACTAAACGGGTTAAAATAAAATAAGCATTAAAATGATAATAGTTTATTATAAGATGATAATAGTTTATTACAGCAATAATGTTAAATGATCAAATACATAAGCACACTGAAATCAATAAGAATGTATTAGATTTAAACAGATGGCAAAGAGGGTCTTTTTTTCATTTGATTACTTTTTCGATGGGTTTTTTTAATTTGAGACTCTGAAGAATCACTATATCAACAAAAATTCATACCACATAAAATAAATTAAACCATAATAATGCGCTTTATTGTAGTAATTATGAAATATGTCATTATTATTTTATATTTTAAATTTTCTGACTGTACAATCTTATTGTCTACGGGGCCCCGAGTGGCCGAAGGGTCTAAAGCGCTGACCGTTACAGATCACTGCCATCTCACCTCTGTCTGCGTGAGTTCGAGTCCAGGCTCGGGTAACGTGGGTACGTGAGAAAGTCTGCCAGTAGCTTCTCGTGGGTCGGTGGTTCTTCCCAGGGTTTTCCAGGGTTCTTCCTCCATCATTAATACTGGCCGCCATGTATAGCCTATCTTGTGCTGAAAAATGGCGTTAAACCCTACAACAACAACAACTTATTGTCTACAGAAAGTAAGACAAAATACATGACTATATCCGATCAAGTCTGGCACCAATACATTTCAAAAGTTTCACAATGTCAGTTATATAGAACAAATGCATCCAAAGTGTTTCGCCTTGTCTAAGTCGCTGGTTGTATTTGAATACACCGGATATCTATCCACTGAAAAAGACAAAAGTTTAGTATCCATATTTGTATTCGTTATTAACCAAGTGTTTATATTATTAATAGAGTTAGTAAATGTTATGCACAATTATGCTCTCCTTTCCCCATGGAAAACCTTGAAAAACTCTAGGGTAAATAGCTCTGCTTAATTTCTCCCTTGGAAGCTTATAATAGTGGCTTAATTACAAATATTTGTTTAGTTGTAAAGTATACTTAAAACAATCATGCTTTTGATTCAGATAGCAAACTAGTTTATACCAGAACAAAGTGAAGTCATTTTTTTAAGAGCAGTCAAAACTTACCAAAATATTTAATTAAAGAGATAGGTCCGTGATTGGTAGAAATAGATTTATCTACCTTGTCAACAAACTGTTAAGAAAAACTCATATACTTAAAAGGTGTGTGTATGTAATTTAGATTTTTAACATAGCTTTAACAATTTTTCAGTCATATCGCTTCGATGTCTGCAGTGTGAGAGTTTATAGTGTTGTCTACCACTGGCATCATGCCGCAAACATCTGGCATGATGTTCCACCCAGTCACATTATCCTGACACCATGCCAACCAGTTCTAACACTAACCTCTTAATGCTGAGACCGAAGCGAGGCAGATGTTAGCATCATTTGTTTAAAAGTCTTTGATATCACTCCGTCGGGGTTTGAACCCGCGACCTCCCGCATCCGAGGTGGACGCTGTAACCACTAGGCCACTGGAGCGGTCGTATATTTAAAATGAACCTCAAATGTTCACGTAAAGTTGAAATAAATATTTCTCCTGCGCATTCCTGCGTAATTTGTTTTTCTTAAGAATCCACACCATGTGACTTATTTAATTTAAGCTTCTTGTTACTTTGACTGTCTCCTCTGGTTACATTCGTTCCTTTAGTATACATGTTCTTCATTTAGTATATATGTTCAATATTTAATGTCTCCTTATTTTTATCACTTTTCTCATCGGTTGCTTGTTACTAAAAGCATAACAGGGTATTATATTTCAACTGGTATGTTCTCATTGCTTTGTTGTTTGTAATTTTATTAGTTTAAATGGGTTTTCTTATCATGGAAATATGTATATTTTCTAATCGTTTCTTGTCAATTTCACTAACAGAATACATATTCTTTGTTTGAGGTGGTTTTAATCACAATCGTGAGTGATCTGTGTTTTAGCTATGTAATATTGCGTTCTAGCTAGTTAAGGTCTCTTCCACTCCAGCTCCACAAATGGTTTGCATTGTATGTTATTATAAGAGATATGCTTATAGTTTCTATTTCAAACAAATTATTAGCCTTAACATATAACGACTTTTCTAGAATATCATTTACCTGTGTTTATTAATATTTTTGGTTTCTCTAAAATTTATTTCACGATATTTTTATTACTTTCATATGGTTTATAATTGTACCTGCTATAAACTTATCTCTCTATTAGTTATTCAAGATTTTGCCTCCGATAATCTCATAATCGCCTAGAATATGCAGTACAGTTTACTATATTGTGTGTGTCAGAATATATTGGACAAACTTATTGAACACTAAAAGTTTTGATACAAATGAAACCTTACTCAGTGGTAACTAAATACCTAATAGTGTATACAAATTAAACGTTTGTGCATATATATTCATTATCGTTTGCCATACTTTAACTGGACACACACACATACACAAACACACACACACACACACACACACACACACACACACATATATATATATATATATATATATATATATATATATATATATATATATAGATATATATATATATAGATATATATATATATATATATATATATATATATATATATATATATATATGGAATGTAATTATATAATCTATTTAAATGAAACTTGTTGTTAGATGGCAGATTTGAAACCATCCTGGTAGAGAGAGATTTCACTTCACTTTCATAAAAACGGCTCCAGTGAATATATAAAGATCGAACCGTTACTTATGCATGATGAGGGGCCGCGAGTGGCCGAGTGGTCTAAAGCGCTGTCCGTTACGGATCACTGCCTTCTCACCTCTGTCTGCATGGGTTCGAGTCTAGGATTCGGCGAATGTGGATATGTGAGAAAGCTTGCCAGTAGTTTCTCGTGGGTCGGTGGTTCTTTCCGGTGATTTCCCGGTTTCTTCCTCCACCAGTAATATCGTGTGCTGAAAAATGGCGTTAAGCCCAACAACAACAACAACAACAACAACAACAACAACAACAACAACAACAACAACTTATGCATGATGCACTTCTGCAAGCGGTTGTATTGTTGAGATCCTACTGATTCTGTGTTTGGTAATAGAACATTTGACATACACTTAGATCCACTTACACTTTGATCTGATTTACACTTTTACAAGTTTATGTTCTTAGCAGTGCCGGATTTAGACAAATCTAGGCCTTAAGCTATTGGAAGCTATAGAGTTCATATTTGGTATAAAATAAATTTGAGGGGCTCCTTTAGACTGAGTCCAGACTTTGGGGCCCTAAGCTGTAGCTTGTTTAGCTTATACCTCAATCCAGTACTGGTTCTTAGGACATTTGCAATTTGCGGTCTACTATATTGGAATGACCCATTAGATAATGCGTTAACGTTCGTGTTAGAGACAAATGTCGTTAGAAATATTTTGTTCCTAATAACGTTTTTAGTTGTCATAATTTAATTGTCATATATGTGAACGTTATAATTAGGCTGATTAACCAAAACCTTAATTCCGTAAAATATAAGATTAATCACGCTACATAGCCTTCTAGTTACGATGATCTGCAGTAAGATCCACAAAACATCAACTTACCACGACCACGTAATATCGGAAATCAGTATTTCAATAAGATTTGTGTGGTTGTCTCTTCGCATTGCTACTAACATATTAGTGACTTTCGATGGCAGTCTCGTCCAGTTAAATAAGCTGTACTTTTAATGGGTGCCATTACAGCCCAGATTAAAAAAGCTCTACATTGCAGGAATGTTTCGTTTTGCATTAAATAAAACACATAATATATACCATCCTAACTGGTTTTCTTTTCTGCCATACTTGACACTTTGTGTTATGAGTGTTCCAGATTGTCGATGTATATTCGAGCTTCAGGTTTTCTTTGTTGAAGTAAGACCTCCAATTACTATCGGTGGACAATTCCTTACTTAGCTTTGTAGAAATCACAAAATACTCTTAGTTTTGATGGTCACTCAGATTTATTCAAAACGATGACCTGCATAAAACAAAAAAAATGTTTCTTCGTTGTGTATGTTAACTACCTACTTAACGTTTTACTACAGAAATCTACGATGACGTATTTCTTGTCTTTTAATCTTCATCTGTCACGTGTGAATCCATCTAGCTAACTTGTCGTGATCAATTTTGTACAAAAAGGGATAAATTTAGTTGTTGATTTCTTTATGCACGACGCATTCATCAAAGAAGACCCTGGCATTGCATGTAGGTTGCTATTGTTGAATCTCGTCGGAAATACACGTCATTCAAGCCGGTGTTAAGCACGTGATGTTTGCCAAAGCGAATGTCCAAAACAATTTAAGTAAAATCTAGTAACATTGTTGTAGTGTTTTGTCCACATGCGTTAATTTCAGTTAAATACGTAAATACTACCCAAAGTTATGTCGATTTTTTTTATAAGTGTAGTACTATATCACATTGTTGGGCCCGTTTGTGAATTGCAATGTATTTTCTAGTTCAGTATAATTTCTTAAACGTATTTTCCTCTGATTCTTAAAGTGTCAAGGCTTGTCTAAAGGCAATCTATTTTATCCATACTCGTGACTGTAAGTCTAATTTATCTTTGATATCTGCATTTTGGTTGAAACAACATCTAATGGAATCCTAAACCCCTTGATAAGGTCAAAGACCTTGCAATGGTCGTATATTTGGATACTAACACTGCTAATTTGGGTTGGGCTCTGTACGGTAACATATGATCTTTCTCATTTTAGATGTTAACCCACATTAAGAAAAATTAAAATGCCTTTAGATATACATGTACATTCAAATGTATTGCTGCGCAAAATGTTTTTGATTAGTTTCGTAAACTCGCAGAAGCTCCATTCGACTTAACAGAGGAACTATTTTTAAAAGTAGGAATACTGTTGGTTATAATATGTATTATATAGACTGTGTTAGTTTCCTTAGTGAATCAATATAGCTTAAGTCAGTGCACACTATAAAGAATTGTAACAATTAACTTAGTCAACCGATGTCCCGAGCGATTGGTCAAATGGGAATTCTATATTGTATGTAATTCACAAACTGTAAACCGTATAAACGTGTATAAAAGGTAGAGGGTTGAGGAGATTGGTAAAAAGTTTTTAAATTAACCAAATATGCTAACCTGACAGAATATATACCAATGACATTACTCTAGGACTGAACTTGTTCTTCTCTGTTTAAAACAAAGTTATTATTATTATTATTATTATTATTATTATTATTATTATTATTATTATTATTATTATTATTATATATATATATATATATATATATATATATATATATATATATATATATATATATAATCGGAATCTAACATCTGACAAATGGTTGTATATGTGCGTTATACGACTTATCACACACATAGGTATAATAGATGATCGTCACTGTCAACAATGTGACCTGCACTTGGTTGTTATCTCCTGAAGGACTCCATTTTAGGTTATAAACAATCGATTGGTGTACATGAGTTAAGAAGCGTAATTCACCGCTTGAAAAACGACAATTAAGGGCGTGTTGTACCTATTGAATCAGTTGTGCCCTTGTGACCTCCCATGCGTCATCACTAATACAATGATACATCAAATTTAAATGTTCGGCGTAAAGTTTCAGCAATATTTACAAACAAATCACGCAGTCTACACAATTATCATGCAGTATCTACAAATTGCACTGCAACTCTTACAACATTTAGTCAGAATGACTTCAGTCCATATTTTTCAGTGTATACATCTGAATATAGCACATTACACAAAATTTAATTTAATAGTCTTTGCAATAATATGCATGAAATGTTTTTTAAAACAAAACCATATTTAATGTAGTAACATTTGAAATCAACCGTATACAACCGTCTAATTCTGTACAAATGATCATAGCTACTAGAAGTGGCAAATATGTGTGTGTGAAGTGGCAAATATGTGTGTGTGAAGTGGCTAATATGTGTTTGTGAATGGGTAAGAGTATATGTGTGTTATTTGATTTTATTGACACAAATTTACACTATATTTTATGAAAGATTACTCGACCATCCCCTAATTTAATATACATTATAGTAAGTAAATTTATATAATACTACAGTGTTAAGAGAAGTATACGTAAAGATAATAATGGAGTAAGAAAACTAATTTTAAATAGAACTTATAAAATATTAAACGAGAACGTGTCTCCTGACACACTCTGGAACGTAATAATTGACTTATCGTATCGACTATTTCTGTTTTCACATAATTATTCCAGTTAGAATTTAATTGTGAGGTTAAACGTTCATAAATTGTCAAATGCTCATTTTCTCAATTATGAATTGTAGTCATGTGCTATTGGAATGGTGCCAAAAATAACAAGTTTATTATGCTATCGAATCATGTCTTCTATGCGCAACGTGCGTTAGAGTAGTATATATTTATTTAGCCTTTTTATCAAAATATACTATTTGTATTACAAAGTTTACGGCGTACGCATAGTGAACCCAATGAAGTATTGGCACCAATAGCCTTTAAAAAACA